GTACTAAAAAGTTGATGTAAGGTAGCGTAACTTACGAACACAAAATACCACATCTCTTTTTCAAGTAAGTTAAGCTAAGTAATTATTTCTTTATCTGAAAATTATATTAGCTTTTGAGAAAGAAAACATGTGAGCTAAATCAGTAAAATTATGGATGACTTTTTTGCATTCTTTTCTCATATGCTAATGCTATAAATCCAGATGCCAAACAGAGAAAGAGCTAAAAGTTAGTGCTAAGATCAAACTATTCAGCTTTTGTTTAATTCGTACCTTACAGAGGTTGTTTCTTGAAATGGAACAGCTGCAAATGTTCTGAGATAAGTCTTAATTGTTTTTGTTTTGGGATCGATAGATATTAAGTTAAAAAAGCTTAAACAACCAAAAATAACTTCAGATCCCTTTGTCTTTCGAGTCTTCAACAGGGCAGTAAGCTTATTGATTTGTAATTTTCTGCTCATTAGAAAATAAAAACATTTTCAAAAGTCCAGTGTACTTATGATTTGAGTCCATTTTGTTGCTTCTTCTATCCAGTGAAGATCGTTGGTCTTCAGAATATACACACTGCTCGGCCTGCTCGACAAAATGTCCAAAAAATCATTGCCTTCATCGTATCTTTTCCTGCAGTACACAAGTGACCATCAGAATTTCGTTGTTGTCGAAGGTCATATTATGCATCCTTCTTTTGGGCTATATTTTTGCTTAGAGTTGACTTCAAAACGCTGGAAAACCTTAGTTTTGTTGCCTCTTGAAGAAATAAACTATCTATAGCTGTTGGGTGTCTCTGAAATTGACGGGAATGATCTTTCAGCGTTTTTTTTTTTGGTTGTTTGTTCCTTGTATTCAGTTGTAAATTGTTTTATTTTTCTGGAAAGCGATTTATCTGTTATTTATTTTAGCTTTTTGTTTTTATTTCAAATTATCCTAATATATAGCAGATTCAAAGTCATTGTTTGGGCTCCCTGTAGCTGAGAACGGTTCTCTTGATCGATCGTCATTGGCTGATGTAGCGCATGCGCTGACAAATTTCTCTGGACACACTTTTCTCAATAGACCCCTTGCAGTTTGTGGGAATGCAATTCCAACTGGAGGACAAATGAATAGATTCTAGCTCCCAAGAGGGCAAAAATCTTTTGTTTTGTCCTCCAGATGAAGTTGCTTTGACGTCACATGCAAGGGGTCTATTTTCAGTAGCGTGCGCTTTGGATTTTTAACTTTTACATAGAATATTAACCCTTGCCTCTTTGATATCATATATATAGAATATTATCTATAGTAATTGAGAAAAGAGGGTCCAGTTCTGGACTAGTTTGATTACTGTTTACATTTGAATTTACATTACATATCAAACTTATTCCATACATTTGTGAACATTTGCTTATAGTAGTGTCCAGGCCCACGCGAACACATATTTCTCTTCTGCGCATGCGTATAGTGGTCTATAGTCTAATTACGCATTCCAAAATTATATCACTCGAAAATGGCGTATCGTATTAAACGGGAGTCAAAAGTTCCAGCTCGTTATATCGAGGAATTTTCTTCGAAAAGTCCCTTAAAGAAGACACAATCTTCGATAATGGATAATAATCTTTATGATATAGAAATAACTGAAGTCGACAAGGCTAAAAAGCGCATCAAAATCCACTATATTGGGTACAGTACGAGTATAAGCTAGAGTGCGACGCCAGTGGAGATTTTTCGGGGATGGACTAGAATTTCCCTTGTTCGCCTTGAAAAACTGAATTTACCTTCGTTAGACTCACTTCAAGATAGGAAAGAAATATTCCACGGTCAAATTATATCGAGAAATCAAGAAAAAAACTATATTCTAATATTCTGGTCGAAAATGCTCTAAATTTGGCTCGTAAATTTTATGACGATGCGTTTATATTATGATTCCTTTAAGCCCAGATTCGCACATAATCTTTGCTGTTATATTTTCCATCGCCGACTTGAAACTTTCCCCATGATTATCACACGCTGCATGGTTTTTTTTTGATNGATCCGCCCCTGAAACTGACAACTTATTATTAATAGTATAGATAGATCATATTGAATTTAAGTGTCCGCTTTACGGGAGATTGAAAAACAATGGAAAACGTCAATTGGGAATCGCTCAGTACAAATGTCCGCGTCCGCTTACGAGAAAGCCCCCTTTTTTTCTATTAAAATAGAAAGTATAAATACAGCATTTGTATGAGAGTGAAAACAGGTTTTGAAAAGCTGTCCGTAAAAGTAGAACTGTATGCTTATGGGAGCGTCCGTATGTAGAGAATCGACTGTATTTTATTGTTGTGCATGCATGCCATTATATTCAAAGAAAGTGGATTTAAAGATTACTTCCAAATAAACTGGTTTAAAAATAGATTAGAGGATAGAGGATTTTGTTGTGTGCCAAGTTTATCGCGAGCGATGAAAAAAGAGAAACATCGAACCTGACTTGAACAGAAATGTTGTGTGCCACAGTTTTTGTATCATGTATTGAGCCGCCTTAAAAAATAATAATTTGAAAATCGTTTCAGCTCAGTGATTACTAGCTACTTTGGTATTTGTTTGGAGTTGTATTCATTGGACTGTGAAATAGTTGATGGGAGCAAACAGGCAAAAACTGCTGAGAATCTTTTAAAAATCGCTGAATGTTGAAATAACTTCGTATACTTTCTTCGTATACTCCCTTCGCTCAAAGTTGTACTTTAGAGAGCGGTAGAGAGGATGTTCTTTTGAACTGACCTGACTTTTTTGGGGGGAGGGGTGCATGTTTGGTGGAATCACATAAATAAAAACCCGCAAATTGAGACCTGCAGCCCGCAAATTGTGACTGAAAACCCGCAAGTTGTGCCTGTTGCCCGCAAATTGTGTCAGCAGCCCGCATATTTTGACTCGCAGCCCGCAAATTGCGACCCGCGAACCGCAGCCCGCACGTTATGCAGACTCTAAAATAGTATGGCGATCCATGTTTTCACCACAGTTCGCTCCAAAAAACTGGGCCTCGCGCATAACTTATCATTTTGTTAATAAAAAACCTAGCACCGGAATTAAGAAATAAAATGTATGTGTGACATTGCTGTGTATTTTTCGTGAGAAAATTTAAAAATCCAATTATGTATTTTCGCCGGCTTTGAAGAGTTGGCGTTGCTTCGCATCCGTTTGCGTTTCGGGATTCCTGTCCCGACGATGAACGGATGCAAAGGAGACTACTTCTGTAGGCACAAGCAACAAAAATCAAACTTGAATTTTTCAAATTATTGCTTTCTTATTATATGTTGAAAATGTACTCAAAACTATGCAGTTTTGTGTTAATTCAATATTTGAAAAATTTATATCAGTCAGTGAACGTAACTGTGATATTATATGTACATGTACTTTCCTTTCTAGAGGTGACTTTGCTATTAATAGTATTTAATGGTCAGATGATGATGTTAATGAGGTCGATCGACGACAAAATATTAATTAACTCCATTGTATTATATTTCATGAAGTAAATAAATAAATTACATGCATATATACATGCATGCATGGATGCATGAGTGAGCCTGGACAATAATCCAAGCAAATGTCACCCGATGTATGGCAATAAGTTCCATATG